GTCCTGACTACTTCTGTCTTCATGAGGAATTTTAGGGGGCCTGAAGCCTCTCCCAGGTCTTGGTTAGGGCCTCCCCACCAGCTGTGTCTCAGTAACTGCAAATCTCAAACACGAGGCTCACAGAAGTATGTGGCTGTGCTTGTGCATGGCCAATCCAGGCCACCAGTGCGTGTGCTGGCTAGAGAGACTGTCCCTGCCAAGGCTCAGCCTGACTGCCCCATTACCCTGTGATTCTCTTAATTTGACTTGACTCAGAAGACAACTAAGTTGGAAGACACAGATTACTTGTCTAACACACCTGCATTTGGCACTCTACCAGTAATCACCATTCCTTTTCCCCCTCCTGTTGTGCTTTACAAAGATGTTCATCGTGTTACATGTGAAGAGGATTCTGATCTGACGCTTGTTTGGGGTGCTGCAAGTCTGTTCGTGCTGACATGACAGGTGTGGAGACCGGAAGTGCATAGTGTGTGCAGATGGCAGCCGTCACACTTCTCCCTCCAGCCATCAGTACTGTGTTCCTGAGTTGGGACTGAGTAGCAGCTCTGGCAGTCCCTTAGACGTCCTCCGTGTCTCCTGGGGGAGCTTGTAGACACACACGCTGTTGGTGACATCAGTGTTAAAAGTTACTTTGTCATGAGGTCGTAGCTCTCATGAAGCCCGAGTGAAAGAACACGTACATCCTTTAAAATTGCCACTCCTTTTCTGCAGTGTGGGGAACAAAGAATACAAATGTAGTCAACGTTAGCTCTTCTGCTTCCTAGGGAGGACTTTGATTTGAAAAAAGCTTTCCCCTACTTTTTAAATTTCCAAGACCAACATAAAAGCTTAATTCAGCAGAGAGCTAGAAAAAAATTGGTATCTACCAATATCTTGAGGAATTCTATTCTTAATATATTTTTAATAAGAAATAGGTTGACTTTGTATAGGACAGTCCTTCAATTGTGTGATCCTTGATTTTGGCCTCTTCATAAATGTGCTGAGTTGAAAAAACAGACACCGACCTGCCAGTCATATTGTGAGTAGCTCTGGCGGGAGGGACGCCGGGTCTCCCACCCTCCCCCATACTTTGAATGAGCTGAGTGGCGCTTGTTGTGATTGCCTTCTGCTTGGCTGTTTCGTCTTAGGATTCGAGCTAAGCTAATTTGAAGTTCTTGATCCTGATGCACATTTACCTACAATTACAGTCTAAAAACTGAACAGCCAAAAAACATCCTGCTCCCTTTATGTACAAGTACTGCCTTTATGGCTGACAAAATGACTAACTTTATGACTTAATTACGATAACTGATTGCATAGTTCGAATATTCAAAGTTCTGCGTGGTAGCAGGTCAGTATGCTCTTGATTCAGTGATACATAGAAAAGCAGTAATGCCTCCTTAGTCCATTGTTTAGTTATTGACTAGGGGATGGAAGAGATACTGATACCACAAATCCAGCGTGAAAGACCTTTGGCTGCACCCTCAATCTCAGCACTGATTTTCTTCTAATTCCTCCTATTTGTGTCCTTCTTGTTAACAACTTTGACTTATAAAAATTACGGTTTTTGTGGTTGGAATGTTTTTCACTGTTTTTGAGGAAGTGCCTATTTTATATAGAAACCTAACATTTTTATAAAAAGATTAAAAGCTAATATTAGCTAATACAGATCTTTTATGGTGTCTTTATTCCTATTAAACATAGTTGTATCAGACTGAGTCCAGTAAGGAGAAAGAAACCACACAGGGTTAAACAGGTTAAGTTTTATATAAAAAATTATTAGACTCTAATGAAAGAGTGACTGTAAGATAAAGATATAAGAAAACTGCGTACGGTGCCCTGGAGCTAAGGGGAGGAAGGTCACGTTTATAAGGAGCTCATTTCCAGCCCCAAGGCTGGGCCTAGAGCTCATTGGTGAAGGTATAGTCCAGCCCACGGGGTTAGTAGGGAATTTCACTCGCTGCCTAGACTGGCGCTGGTCTGCAGTCACTAAGCCTCTGGGCAGGTGGAGTTCAGGCCCTGTGCGGGAGTGGCAGCTCTGTGGGACCTGGGAGGCAGGTTTGGCCTCCAGGGGAAATCAGATGCGACGAGGTCTGGAAGGGCCTGCTGTGCGCCTGTGCATGCAGGAGCCTCGTTGCTCTGCGACGGCCTTTGAGCACGTAGTTACTGAGAACACTTGGTGTGCTTGTCCAGTAGCGATGCCCAAAAAACTGTCTGTTATGGCAGTACGTACACTGACGGGTAATTCTGTGGTTGAGTCATTAAATTGATAATGGGCATAATAGTGTACCTCTTTTCAGTTCACTTTTTGACATTTAGGTATATAAAAGCCTGTTACTAATTGCCTTTCTGTATTGGATGGTTTTGTTTGCTGTCCTTCCTTAAGCCCCATTGATGTTTGGGGTCGGAGAATTCTCAGCTGTGGGGGGCTTCACGGTGTTGCAGGGGGCCTGGCGGCATCCCGGGCCTCTGCTCCGAGTGCCTCTGCTCGCCTGCTTACAGCTGGGACGAGCTGTGTGGCTCGTCCAGGCCGCTGGGGAGCAAAGTCTGTCCTGGGTGAGAACCACTGCTTTAGCCCATGCTTTTTTCTCTCTTAAAAACATTTGAGATCTCTCTTCTAATGAAGGTTTCCTTGTGGCTTTTAACAAGTTCTATTTTAATAAAAGAGGGTGTCTTAAACAACCATAAAATTTTATTTTTGGAAGAAGCAGAAACTAATCTAACTACTTTATTTCACGTGTAAATGAATTTAGTCAGTTCTAGTCATCCAGCTACTTCGTTGCAGATCTAGGTTCAGAATCCAGAATGTTTCCAATACAAAGTGACACCCATAGTGTCCTGTCACTCTCTGACTTGTGCCTGTGTTTCGTGGGCCCTGTGGGAGGTGCTGGCGATGTATGCTGAGGCGGTGAGTAAAATTTCATGTATGCCGGAAGAGCAGTTTATTTAGCTATCACACTCTTTCTTGATACTCGATGATAGATTTTTTTTTTTAAAGCAGTGAAAGAATAATTGATTCATATATGAAAGGACTGTGGTCAGAGGAGCTACTCTTAGCAGTAAAATGCAGTTTTGTGGTTGCAACTGTTGAAACGGCTGTGGGCTTTGAAGCAGCAGACCGGGAGGCTGGTCTTGGGACTTCATTAAACTCATAACAACTTGGGCCTTAGCTGTCCTCTGTCAAATTGCCCTGGCCTGACTGGATTCTAAGTTCCCTATCCTGCCAGTTCTAACTGAACTCCCAGACGGGGGTTGAGAATGAGAGTAGAGAGGCCTGGAGCCTGTCACAGTCTTCTGGGACAGAGTTACAAGATACAGCTAAACATTGTCATATAATTATGATGGCCTAAACAGTATCAGTGGATGGGCAGTAAATTGGATTAGGACGAGTCTAGTGGGAGAGAATGTGCTTCAATACCAAGCCGATCTGAAATTCTGGAGCTATTCACGTGCATTAAAGAGATTTGATTCTGAAATTTTGAAATATTAAGAAATATTGTAAGGTAGGTTCTGGGTGAGTTCAAAAGGAGTTACTTAAAAAACAATACACAGAGTGGGAAAAAACTATTTGTATATCATTTATCAGATAAGGGGCTTATATCCAGAATATACAGAAAAACTTTTACAACTCAGCAATAAAACCACAATACAATTAAAAAGGGGACAAAGGATTTGATAGACATTTCTCCAAAGTAGATATATAAATAGCTAGTAAACAAATGAAGGTGTGCTCCAAGTTACTAGTCATTAAGGAAATGCAAATCAAAACCATAGAATATACTACTTTGCACCCACTGGCATGACTCTAATAAAAAAGATTGTCAGGGCATGACTCTAATAAAAAAGATTGTCAGCATTGGAACCCCTATCACTGCTGGTAGGGATGTGAGGTGCAACCTCTTTGGAAAACAGTTTGCTGGTTCCTGAAAATGTAGTTACCACGTGGCGGTTAAACAGTTACCATGTAACTCTGCAACGCCACTTCTAGGTTTATGCCCAAGAAAATTGAAAATACGCATCCCCACAAAGGCTCGTATGTGGACGTTCATAGCACTATTCAGAGTAGCCAAAAAGTGGAAACAGCCCAAATATCCATGAACTGATGAATTGGTAAACAAACAAACAAATCGTATCTCCATACAGTGAAATACTATTTGGCCACAAAAACAAAGAAATTCTGATACATGCTACAACACAAATAACTGAAAAACAAGCTAAGGAAAAAAATACACCAGAGGTCACTTACTGTGTGATTCCACGTGCATGAAATGTCTGGAAGGGAACAGATACTTGTGGTTTTCAGAGGATAAGAGGAGGAAAGGATTATGGGTCTCTTTGGGAGGATGAAAATGTGCTGAAATCGGATGTTGGTGATGGTCGCTCAACCCTGACTGTACTAAAAACCACTACGCTCTACACTTTAATAGGGTGAATTATTATATGCACATTACATCTCTGTAAAGCAGGTTTTTTATTGAGATTGAAAAATTTTAAAGTCGTTTAATCAACCTGAGATTAAACTGCAGTTGAGTTACTGTTCATGTCAGTTCGTTGCTTTCAAAGCTTTTCCTGTCATTCTACCCTTTTTGCTGTTTAATGTTTGCTGTGTTTGGTATTTTGACTTTGTTTCTTGAAGCAAGTTCTGGTTAAAATCAGGTCATTTGAAGCTGTGTCTTTCTAGTTCAGACAATAGGGAGCAGCACCGAGGGAATCAGACTTTTATCCCTGCCTGATGTTTTTTGCCTCGATAACACAAGTAGTCATACTCTGTTCAGGGTTTCTCTGACGAGAAAACATGTCTATGCAAATGTTTTTTTGGAAGAGGAAGCAATAATGTAGAAAAAAATTAGTTTTATATTTTGTCTTATATTTAGCCCTAGAAAGATAAGTTTAAGAAAAAATAATATATAAATGAAGCCCTTTCGGAAACTTCTAAGAGGATGTTTCACAACTTACAGCTCTTCATGTGAGGTATTAAGTTACAATGTTCACTTTTAATAACAAATAATTTATCATTACAGATAGATTTGACCAGTTTTGGGCCATCAATCGGAAACTCATGGAATATCCTGCAGAAGAAAACGGATTTCGTTACATCCCTTTTAGAATATATCAGGTAGGAAATGACATTTTTAATAGTACCAACTGTGAAAGCCTCAGACATCTCACCTCTTGAAATACTCTAGTCCAAAACTCTCGAAGTCTGTGTAGTAACTGAAAAGTATTCTCAGACTTCCATCTTTTGGTGACAGATCAGAGACTTGAACCGAAATGTATTTGACTTATTCGCAGTCGGTTGTCACTATTTGCAGATTCTGTATTTGCATATCAGTTTGCTTCTAGAACTTGTTTGGACCGACAGAGTCAATACTCTGCGGTCCTCATGGACGTGTGCAGAGCTGTGAGGAGTGTGACTTACCCAACGTGCGTGCTCAGTGAGGCTGGGTGTACCTTCGTGTTTCTGCTCTTGTTCTGAAAGCAAGGGGCTTCTCCCAGTCTGTTCAGTGCCATGTTTTTCACATTTTTGTGCTTTTTGATAGTGATTTTGCTGTTTAAAGTACCTCCTGGTGCTGAAGTGCTATCTTTAAACAGAAACTCACATAAAGCAAGGTTATGTATTGAGGAGTTGAAGAATATGTTGCCATCAGAGGCGTGAGGTGACCCAGTCCTGTACTTCCCCCAGGAACAGTGGTTCAGTATTTGCTAATTCAGTGTGAGTGATACTATAAAACCTTATGACTAAAGTGAGAATCAGCTGTATGTGTTTTAGATGGGGAGTCTTTGGTGTTTTACAACAAAATAGATGGACTTTGAGCACGCTTCGGTGTGATAGAGAAACCTCCTGTTTCTGTAGAGCTCTTTGAAACTCAGCATGCTTCATGATAGCGAATGCTGGGTGAATTCTGTTGAACAAATGGTATTCCAGAACCCAAGTTATCTACTATCATGAAAAAAAAAAACAGTTGAAAACAGGAATTGGAAACATCATATCACAGACATAGACTCTAGTAATAGCAGGACTTCCATTCAAACTCAGTTAAGAGTTTGTATCCGAAGTTCCCTTTGTAGCCATTTTCACTACCCCACAGTCTTCATTCATAGTTCTACAGTTAGTCTTTTACAGCTCCATCCTTCATCACATAAGTGTGTTCAAAGAGGAAAACGTTGTCTAATTAAAAATTCAGTTGTCTAATTGCAAAAAAATAAACAAAAGTCCCCAATATACTTAGAATGAAAAGTTTCTGATTTAAATAAGGTTACTTTTCATTGATTTCATTAACATAGTGGCAAGTAGACTATTTTTAGTTCATGGATTCGTGATAGGTATAGTAGAAATATAATGAGAAAAATACCTGGTGAAATAAACCAGTGATCTAATCAGCCATGTTAATTAGTTTCTCTGATTCCATTTTTTAACAGGGAAATAAAAGTTTAATTCCAGAAGTCTTTGTTAAGCATAGATATATTACACAGTGGTTTTGGAAATATCATAGCTTAATTATTTATACTTTATCTTGTATCATAAAGAATCTGAGGTAATTTGCAAGAATATATAGTCACACAATGGAAAAGGATTTAAAATCAAAGCCACTGAAAATATAAAATGGAAACTCAGCATGAAATTACATAAGCTGTGAATGAATGAGATCCTCAAATGTGTTAAAATTGACCTGCAAATTTGACCTTGAGCTTACTCGTTAGCCAAAAGCACAGGGAGGAAAATGTAATGAGATACAATTTTTTTTTTCATACAAAGGTAAAAGCATCCCAGCTATCAGGGAAAGCTAAACTTTCTTGGTCATTACATAGGAAAAGAATATCTCATATGGCTTCATTTAGAGGGGGTAGGGTAATGCCCTTTATAACTTAGCCACAGTAATAGTTGCCGTAAAGCTGCTTCCTGAAGTGTCACTCATCAGTGGCTGAAGACAGCCTGTCATAAGCCACGGGTCACCCATACCGTGACACACAGTTGGGTGGAATAAAGCAGAGGCTAAGACTGAAAAGATTTTTAGGTTATTTTATGGAAAAAATGTGTTTATCAAATAAGAGGCAAAGTAATAGACGGAGCAAGGTGGTTGGGGATTGGGATTCACAGTAAAGGTTTGTCCAGCAGAGCTGATGTTTGCAGAAACCGTTCAGGAAAAGGAGGGGAAATTGTTGCCCCTCAGAAGGGAGCACCCAGTCTGCTCTGTCCAGTGGGAAATAAGCCGTCTGCTGAGAAGAGCCGTGCTGTAGCTTTGGAAACTGGTCTGTTTGTGAGCAAATACAACGGTTCCTGTATTTGCATAAAACAATATGAGAAAGAGGGCAGGAAGCCTGGTTGTTTGTATTGAGAGAAGAAATATCTCACATTAGATGCTTCTGTTCTGATCACGTAGGCATTCCCCAGGGCAAACTTGAGGACCAGTTTTACAGCTAGATTCAGTAGTGATATACCTTAGTTATTTCACAGAGAAAAGCTGAAATAGAGCCAGATTTATGGACTAAGCATAATAATTATAGTGACTAAGTTCCTTCACATAGTCTGTAAATCTCATAGGGAGCATCTGCTTCTTCCCATCACTGATGCAGGTATCAGTGATTAAAATGCAGATAAAAAAATGACAAGTTATCATGGAATTTTAGACTAGTCCCTGTATTTTCTGAGTGCATTTCAATTTTTTTAAGCAGCAGCCACTTTGGGACTGAGCTTGGGAGGGAAGGTTGGGTGGGAACAAGTGGGATTGGCTCAGACGGTTTGATTTCTCTCCTTCTGGAGCCAGTAGTTGTCGCATCAATTATTCATGGAAATACTGAAGCACAGTTGGAAAGTCACCTCTCTGTCTCGGCCCGGACAGAATCGGTGCTTTGTGTAAGTTAGACGGTTTCTGATCTAGCCGACACTCCAGATGCACTAGACCTCAACATACTAGTGGTGTCTCGGAAGGCAAGATCATAATTTTTTGAAATCTGTGTAGTAGTATTTAGTATAGTGTTTCATGCATTCTAAGTGCTTCATTAAATACTTACGTAATCAAATCCTAGAGTATTAAAAGCACTGAAAAATTACATAATTTTAAAGCTGAAAAATGACTTTTATACTTTGATCCAAAGGTGCAAAGGCTAGAGGTTTCCTTGATTTTAAATGTGTGGCAGCTTTACCAAGGACGGTGCCATTGTGGTGAAGAAAACAAAACACGTTAAAAATGAACGAAAATAATAGGAGAGTAGGAGCAAGTGGAAAAGAGCCGTTGGGGTTGCAGTATAACGGGGCGCAGAAGACCAAGGTCCTATTTCTGCCTGTTTATTTAGAAAATTATTTTGACTTGTTGCTGCAGCTTCATGTAAACCTCACTGAACTCAGAAGGCTGTGAAATGTGAGCCATTGAAGCCGAAGCACCCGTCCTAGAGTAAGGTTGTGTTTCCTAGACAGAACGCTGACTTAGAAGGGGCCTCTGTGGCTCTGTGGGAGGCTGGCACTACCAGCTGTGCAGCCGTGGCAGGCCGCTCAGCCTTGCTGGGCCTTCGTTTCCTCAGCCATTAAATGAAAGGGGGCATGCCCGAGTGGATTTATACATCTGGTTGAAGTTGTTCTTTAAAGAAGACATATTAAAGTCCATGTAATTGTATCCATGTATATATGTAATTGTAGAAAATGGTTTTTTTTTTAAGTTCTATAATCGGGTAGAAAGTGGAAAGCTAGAGAGTTCTCAACATTTGCTTGACAAAACTGGCTGCCAGGTGGGGACTGTTTGGTGAGCTTGCTGACCGATCTTCCCCGAGGCAAGAGGCTGGCAGCTTCTCCTCAAACAGGAGGAAACCGAGCCTGAGAACCTTACTGGTTTTCGGTTGACTTACATAACTTTCCTGTTGGCTTTACCTAACCTCTCCGATTAGGTTCTTACTTGAACTTGATGAAAAATTTTCGAAGTGAGGAAAGTGAATATAAAAATGTAGGGGGCTTAGTTTTTGCCAACTGGACATTTCCTGGCTTTTCTCATTTCCTTGTTTCGTATTTTTGAATCTTCATCCAAGGAAAGATAGGCTCTGCTTTTCATTTTACTAATTATATAATGTAAAGGTAATTGCAGATTTCCACTGCTGACTCCTTTACAGCTGATTAGTTTGCATGGTTGGGATATTCCACTGATTAAGTGTAGCTTTTTGATGAATTTTGATGAGTTTGCAACATTTTGATGAATCTGCAACTTTCATTTCTTTAACCTACTGTATATAAATACCTGTATTATTTCAGACCTTTACTTGCTATTCAGAAATAGTAAGTTAATTAAGCAAAACCTGAGGATCCAGGTTTATTAGTAAGGGAAATGAAGGACATAATTTTTACTAGAACATTTGTTTTTCTTTACAGATACCTAATAAAACTGCTATGTAACAAGGAGTAAAAAGGAAGGGCCCTGAGCATGCGCAAGGCCCATTTTATCTTTTGAAGCCTCAAAAGTGTTTTATGATGTTGGGATCATTGTCTGATTTTATGTTCGAGGAAAGTGAAGCTGAAGGATTTTAGTCACTTGCTCAGGGGGCACACAAATGAAAAGTGTCAAAACTAGAGTCTAGATCTAAGTGATACTTACAGAGTATGAGTTTGTGTATAAAATGAAGTTTACAGAATTTATCAGGACATAGTTATCACATAAAGTGAAGTACACCTTGACCAAATAAGTTGATTGAAAGCTAGAAAACCTCTAATTGGTGATATTCTTTAAAGGCTGACTTTCGTTCAGATTGTTGAAACTTTATTTCTCTTTCATCTGTAATTCAGTTATTATGGGCACAAAATGACTATAATCTAGTGACACAGTGTTAGTGGTAAAAGTAAAATAGGTCCAAAAGTAGTCTACAGATCCATTACAGACCAAAATGTGTCATTTCTGTCATTTACATAGCAGTTTGGTTTAGTGTGGGGGTTTCGGGTCTGTGTTCCTGAGATCCAGGTGCTTCATATTAGCCAGTATTCTAGAGATGAGGTCAATGGCAGGAAGTGTTTCAGAAATGTAACCTGAACGTTATTTAGAATAGCACATGTAAGCAGATGGTGATGAATGAGGGTATCTGTTAAAAAGATTTGTTAAATGACTGTGCAGTCCTCAGGCATTGGTGTTTAGGTTGTAG